CGCTTGCCCATCTACCAAAAACTCCCGAGATGGAGCGCAAACTCCGGCTTGGCTTCCTGCCTTCGACTAAGCTCACAAGCACCATGAACGCATCGCAAATCGGGGGAGACGAGCAAGACGAGCATCTGTGTTCAAGAGCATTTAACAGAGGGGGGGCGAGCACAAAGAGCACCGCGTACTCGAGCCAACTTCGGGTTTAGGGCAAGTTTAGGGTTTGGGTTTGGACCAGCACCGATGGCAAGCCAGCCCGGGTCTCGCGAGTGATGCTCCCGCTCGGCTGGCCACCCTCTACACGCTGCAGATTGACGCGGGCTGCATGAAGAATCAGGCGCTGCCGCATGTGTGCAGCTGATGCATGTGCGGGCATAAGGTGGACGAAATGGGAAGCGTGCTCGCACATTCATGCCAACACATGTCTCACGATAACAATGGCCTGATTCAAAGAGCAGGGCGCCAAACAGAACGGGCGTCTAGGCATTCACTGCCAGGGATGTGAAAGATGACCGACGTCAAGACACTCCGGCACACGCCTCAATGGAAGCGAACACAAGAGCGAGTGAGTGAGTGAGTGAGTGGAGATGAGAGCGAGAGAGATACGCGCCCCTCTCAGTCATGACAGATTGTGCCCTCGCCAGAATGAAAGCACGACATGCGCTCTCACAGCACTTGCAATTTCTCGGCGAGCCCGAACTCCTAAACCCCCAAACCCTGCAAACAAACCCCGGTCCCACACGCGACTCAGCGCTTGCGCAAGCACTCCAGGGCCCGGACATGCGCAAAACGAAGAAAAAAACACCTGGGCCCAAAGACTCAAGAGCGAGTGAGTGAGTGAGTGAGTGAGAGATGAGAGCGAGAGAGATACGCGCCCCTCTCAGTCATGACAGAAAGCACGACATGCGCTCTCACAACACTTGCAATTTCTCGGCGAGTTCGAACTCCTAAACCCCCAAACCCTGCAAACAAACCCCGGTCCCACACGCGACTCAGCGCTTGTGCAAGCACTCCAGGGCCCGGACATGCGCAAAACGAAGCAAAAAGCACCTGGGCCCAAAGACTCAAGAGCGAGTGAGTGAGTGAGTGAGTGAGAGATGAGAGCGAGAGAGCTACGCGCCCCTCTCAGTCATGACAGAAAGCACGACATGCGCTCTCACAACACTTGCAGTTTCTCGGCGAGCCCGAACTCCTAAACCCCCAAACCCTGCAAACAACCCCCGGTCCCACACGCGACTCAGCGCTTGTGCAAGCACTCCAGGGCCCGGACATGCGCAAAACGAAGAAAAAAACACCTGGGCCCAAAGACTCAAGAGCGAGTGAGTGAGTGAGTGAGTGAGAGATGAGAGCGAGAGAGCTACGCGCCCCTCTCAGTCATGACAGAAAGCACGACATGCGCTCTCACAACACTTGCAGTTTCTCGGCGAGCCCGAACTCCTAAACCCCCAAACCCTGCAAACAAACCCCGGTCCCACACGCGACTCAGCGCTTGCGCAAGCACTCCAGGGCCCGGACATGCGCAAAACGAAGAAAAAAACACCTGGGCCCAAAGACTCAAGAGCGAGTGAGTGAGTGAGTGAGTGAGAGATGAGAGCGAGAGAGATACGCGCCCCTCTCAGTCATGACAGAAAGCACGACATGCGCTCTCACAACACTTGCAGTTTCTCGGCGAGCCCGAACTCCTAAACCCAAAAACCCTGCAAACAAACCCCGGTCCCACACGCGACTGAGCGCTTGTGCAAGCACTCCAGGGCCCGGACATGCGCAAAAAGAAGAAAAAAACACCTGGGCCCAAAGACTCAAGAGCGAGTGAGTGAGTGAGTGAGAGATGAGAGCGAGAGAGCGAGACCGGACAGCGCAAGGACAGACACTCTCTGTTGGCCCAGAGACTCCAATACCCCTCAATTCCGGAATATCTCTTTAAACCATATAGGAACCCTATCTTTTAAGGAATATTTGTTATATAAGGGGTATTGGAGTCTCCGGGAAGTAGGCTGAAAGCTTCACGGTCTGAGTGCATCACACGACGATCGCTCATAGGACCTGTGCTGTTTTGGTATTTGGGGTCCTGGAGGTACTTCAGCCACGGTCCGCGGGACCAGAAAGCGCAAGGACAGACACACTCTGTTAAGTAGACCAACGCGGTCTGAGTGCACGACACCGATCAGTCACAGCACCTGGTGCTGTATGAAAGGGGCGCCCTAAACCCCAGCTCCACTTCCCAAACCTGCAGCCTATCTCCTCTCTTGTTCTGGTCTGAGAGCGCGGCGCCAATCTCAACGGAGCCACCAGGACAAAAACGACTTTGGGAAGGAAAGCGAATCCTCTAAAATCTCTGACACGAAACGCAAAGCAAGCCAAAAAACCATCGACCGAGCATCGTGGAACTGCTAGGCCGTTCTTGCGTGTGTTAGGATGACCACAAAAACGAAAAAACCGACCGAGTCCTGGCCCAGGTGGGCAAAACACCAGGAAATCTTCGAAAATCTGAGACGACATGCAAAACAAGCCCAAAATCCATCGACGAAGCGTCGTGCAACGTTTAGTCTGCTGTCGTGTGGTTTAGGATGACCACAAGAGAAACGAAAAGTCGACCGAGTCCTGACCCAGGTGGACAAAACATCGGGAATATCCTCGGAGGTCGCTGAGACGAAACGCAAAGCAAGCCAAACATCCATCGACCGAGTCTCGTCAACTTATGGGCAGCTGTCGTGTGGTTTCGGATAAGAACAACACCGTGCACTGTAAGCAAGAGCCGAAGAGAAACACAAGCAACCACATTCGATCAACATCTGGGCGATCAGCACGTTTGGTTGGCTGAGGTCATGCCTTCAAGGTTCAAGGAGATCGTTACACATGGCACGTTCCGTGACCACATGCATAGACGTGCTTGCATTCTGTAGAACGCACAACTGGACGCTGCTGGCCATCTGCCAACTGGCGATAGCTAACGCAGACACAGCAAAAACATATCTCAAGCAGGGTGGCTTGGACTTAGCTTCGCTAAGCCGTTCACAGCTCAGGTCTCTTGACGCTGCTACCGGGGCCGATTTGCAACTCCAAATATGATGCTTGCTTGTGACCCCAAAAAAGGCTCCTCACTCTCTGCAAAAAGTCTTAACTTCAGAAGAAAATGCTCCCAAGCCTTCTGGGGCAAGCGCGCAGGCTCCACAGCCACACGCACTGGCACGGTTCCTCTACCCACATCCCAACGTTTACACCATCGCTGCAACCACTTCCGGCCGCCACGGTTTGTGGCAGCCCGGCAGCCAGCATGATCACCCAATCTTCGTCGAAACTCGAAGAGGGCCGCCTCCGAGGTCGGAGCCGAGTGACAACGAAAGTTCTGCTGCCGAACCCAGCGAAAAAGGTTGGCCTCTGCTGTTTTTGGGCCGCCGTCTGCGGATCTGTACAGGCATCAACATCAGCAGCCGCAGCTTCCCGGTAAAGATTCTGGACAAACGTAATGCTTGGCAGCGTGTCGTCAGACGCTGCACGCCTCTGTAGTTGTCGGGCGTGCTGCATGGCCACCATTGCATTGTGACCGCTGAGAACATATGTACACAAGACCTGATGCCGCTGCTTTGGGGAAAGTCCGCACGGCCAACTCACTCTGTGGGCTTTTCGGGCTGCCCTGGCAAGCGGCCGCTCTCCTTCTCGCAAGCGCTGTCGCAGCTCGCGGCAGGTCCGCTTCAGAGAGCACAAGCGACAGGTAGCTGCTTGGCAACGGCACTCCATGGTACAGAGCACTTCAGCACCGCAAAGCACTTCCTTTTGGAGGCTCATGCACAGGCAAACTGCCGAAGTGCGAAAACGTCAGACGAGGCTTGGAGATGTAATTCTTGCAAGATTTCGTCGACAGTCTGCCTGCACCACTACCAACTACGTCGCTGACTCCTGACGCTAAGAACTTGGCCAGGCATGCACACGACAAGCTGTGACGAACGACGGTCAAATACGGTCGATTCAATCTGGGCAAGGGCAACACAATGGCCCTCCATCCTTACGTCATGGTCGCTGTGCGAACCAACAACGACTTGGCAATACAGCAGCGGTAACCCGCAACATACTTGGAAATACCTGGCTTTCCTGCACCCCAAACTGGGGCCGCTGGAAAGGCACCGTGGAACAACAACAGTTGAGATCTGGCCAACCACCATCTTGCCACCGGCCTTAAGATGACAGAGTCCCCCTCCAGAGACCTCCCTTACCAGCTTGGGCAAGTGCCCACCCTTCAACAGCGGAAATCTGGCCAAACGCCGTCTTGCAGCGATTTGGTACCACCTTCTGCATCGGTCCAAAAGGAAGTCAAAGTAGCCCGTCGGTCGCGCCCCAAAAAACACGGACTCTGTGGCTTAACGCTCCAGCCCCCCTGCTCTCTGGCTGACGCCTCCAGGCCCCTCTCTGGCTTAAGCTCCAGGCCCCCGGACTCTCTGGGTGGAGTCTGGACTCTCTGGCTTAAGTCTCCAGGCCCCGGACTCTCTCGCTTAAGTTTTCAGGCTTTCTGTCTTTAGCCTCCAGCCCGGACTCTCTGGCTTAAGTCTCCAGGCCCCGGACTCTCTGGTGAGAGGGCAGTGAAGGGCGTGCGTGTGGCCTCTAGTCCCTTCTGCTTGGGAGTATGGAGGGCAGTAATCCCTCATGCTTTCGGGGGGTCCGAGGGTGGAAGCAGTGAAGGGTCTCTAATCCCTCGCGCTTCTGGAGGGTTTCGTGGCAGTGAAGGGCCTCTAATCCCTTCTGCTTCCGGGAAGTCCCTCATTGGAGCTGTGAAGGGCGTAAATCCCTCATGCTTGGACTCGTGCTTTTGGGGGGTCCCGCCTCAAAAGAGGGCAGTGAAGGGCCTCTAATCCCTTCTGCTTCCGGGGGTTATAAAGGTGAGAACAGTGAAATCCCTCGTGCTTCTGGGGCATCCCAGGGGCCACGGTAGCGACTCCGTGCATTGCGTGCACGAGAACTACGAGTGAATTATGAATTGGGCGCAGCTCCATCGGAGCACGAGAACTACGAGTGAATTATGAATTGGGCGCGGCTCCATCCAGAAGTTGACCACCGTGGCCGAAGACGTCTTCCTCGTCGGAAGTAAGGGGTTCTAGGGGCAACGGCGCAGCTGGAGCGGCGTTGATGCGAAGGTCTCTGTCCACCGTGACCCACAAGATGCGACGGCGAATTGCCTCTTGATTTTGTGTCAACTTGGCATCTGCTGGAAAGAACTGGTCATATTCCCAGTTCGTTGAAAAGATGCGCGGTGTGCCTTTCGGCACGCGGCCATCCCTGTTTCTACAAGAGACGTCCCGGTCTTTTTTGAGGTCTAAGATGTCTTTCGCATCGTCAACTGTCCGATTCTGCAAGCAAGCCTCATCCACGACCAACCCTTGACCACGAACCAAGTAGATATCTCTCAAGCGATCAAGCTTGTTGATAAAGTGGAAGCCATTCTCTTGACAAATGGCTGACATGAGGCTGCACGCCAACTCGGTTTTGCCTCGGCCGCCCAGGCCAGACAAAATGAGCGATACAGACGTGTGCCCTACCGCCATCCATTGTGAGAGGTCTTGGTGCAAATTGTCGATTGGAACGAAGCCGCTGAGCGGAAATTCGGCCCTCAAGACCAACGTGTCAGCAGCTGCTTCGCAGTTCCAAGCCGACAAAACTTTTGCCACGAGCGCGGTGGCATCCTGGGCGCCCAAGGTGTTGTACAGGGTGTCGTCTCCGGCTACTTTTCGGCTCTTGGCAAGCCTCCAGGCATCTGAAGCACATTTGACGTGGCCTTCAATGAACGCATCTGTGACCTCGGAGAAAGTCATGAGAACACGCTTTCGGCCTTTGTTGGAGGATTTCTCGTTCCGAGCAGCCATCTGTGGAGGCGACTTGTCAACAAAGGCAACTTGCACGGTGTTTGGCCAAGACCACGGGGATAGATCCAAGTCAGAGAGCAACTTGCCAGCGGACGGCTTCAAACAATAGCTGAGGTAAGCGTGATACCCGACAAGGTTGAAGCTGAAGTGTCCATGAATTCCCTGAGAGTGCAAAATCTTGCTGCTGCTGATCTGCAAATGGGCAAACGTGGTCTTGAAGCGAAAGATGATGTGGAAGTGCCGGGCTCGCGCGTTCGTCGCAGGGTTGTACTTTTTGTGGGGCTCGCTAAAAACGTGGAGGCGGTCCAGTTTGGGAAGGAAGCCCACCTTGATAACGGCCTGCTTGAAGATAAGTCCAACCTCCTCTTTTGTGAAGTCTTCTGGAATGAAGTGCTTCATAGCCTTGCGCTGAGCATGCTCTGCGGGATACTCCCGCGGACATGGAAAGACGAATTGCCCGCACATGCCCCTGCACTTGACGTCGCTCGGCTGATCAGCATCATCCCCGGAAGACGCGCCCTGACGTTGGGACGGAGAACAAAAACAACAAACATCATGGTTTACAGGCTCAGCTTACAGAAGGACTTCCCTGTAGAGTCTGTAGCTGCAGAGCACTCTGCTTTGTTCCAGGGAACCCGTCACACAAGGACACGCGCCTGCATTTCTGTCATCGCGACATCCTCGTCCGAAGACGAGGAAGAACTGGAGGATGACGTGTGCTCCGGCATGACGGCTGCGTGGCTACCAAACAGAAGGACACGAACGGTTGCAAGATGATCTCAATAATTTTTGGGCGCATCTTGCATGGCATGCATGGAGCTGTAGACCGGATTGACAAGATGCGTTGGACATGAAACGCGATGGCAGGCATGAGCGTCATAGCCGTAAACGTGTCAGAGTGGACTCCGGCGCCTCCATGGGCTTTAGGGGTTCCTGGTGCCGCCAGAGCCCAATGTAGATTGCCGAAAATGCACCCAGAAGCACAAAATCGTAAAGTTGAATCCGCGTTAACAAATAGAATATTTTTAAAACGCGGGCAACTTTACGATTTTCCGTTTCCCGGTCTACATTTTGGCAATCTACTTTCTGGGGTGGCAGGCCCAGGGCGGGAAACGGCCTCGGACAAGGAGAGGGCCTGGAGAAGGGAAAGACCTACCAAGGGTTGGAAAAAACGGCCCCAAGCCTTTTGCTGCCCAAGATGCAGTATGGCCTCCAGCAATTTTGCTTCCCAGCCTCACCCAACAACCTAAGGTGCGCTCGTCTGCTTCAGCTGCAGTATGGCATCCCAAGCCTTTGCACTACCCCCCCCCCAGACCCCCAACCAGTCCTAAACCACACGGCAACGGCCAAGACGTTAAACGAAGTGCGGTCGCTTGATTTTTGGCTTGCTTTGTGTGTGTGACGCGCCAGCTCCTGACTGGATTTCCCGGTGTTTTGCACGGCTGGGCAAGGTTCGCTGCCCTGTGGTTTAGGACGCCAAGAAGAGGAACGAAAAGGACCAGGTCCTTGCCCAGATAGGCAAAACACCGGGAAAATCAGCGCAAATCTCTGGCACGAAAGGCAAAACAAACCAAATTCCATCGACCGCGCTTCGCTCAACTTATGGCCTGTGGTTGAAGATGCCAAGAAGAGGAACGAGAAGGACCAGGTCCTTGCATGGACAGCAAAACCCCAGCACTGGAGTACACCCAGCAAGGGCAACAGCCAAAAATTGCGAAAACAGCGTTTATCAACCGATGTAGATGCACCAAGGCGTGAAAATGGGGTTTAGGGACCACGGAAAGTGAGAAAACCATCCAGAAGTCAGCCTCGGACTGGCAAAACACCGGAGAAAGAGACAAATCCCGAGCTGCAGTACGGCCTCGGGGCCTTGTGGCAGGCCCAGGACCAACACGTTAAACGAAGTGCGGTCGCTTGATTTTTGGCTTGTTGCGTGTGTGACGCGCCAGCTCCTGACTGGATTTCCCGGTGTTTTGCACGGCTGGGCAAGGTTCGCTGCCCTGTGGTTTAGGACGCCAAGAAGAGGAACGAAAAGGACCAGGTCCTTGCCCAGATAGGCAAAACACCGGGAAAATCAGCGCAAATCTCTGGCACGAAAGGCAAAACAAACCAAATTCCATCGACCGCGCTTCGCTCAACTTATGGCCTGTGGTTGAAGATGCCAAGAAGAGGAACGAGAAGGACCAGGTCCTTGCATGGACAGCAAAACCCCAGCACTGGAGTACACCCAGCAAGGGCAACAGCCAAAAATTGCGAAAACAGCGTTTATCAACCGATGTAGATGCACCAAGGCGTGAAAATGGGGTTTAGGGACCACGGAAAGTGAGAAAACCATCCAGAAGTCAGCCTCGGACTGGCAAAACACCGGAGAAAGAGACAAATCCCGAGCTGCAGTACGGCCTCGGGGCCTTGTGGCAGGCCCAGGACCAAGACGTTAAACGAAGTGCAGTCGCTTGATATTTGCCTTGCTTTGTGTGTGTGACGCGCCAGCTCCTGACTGGATTTCCCGGTGTTTTGCACGGCTGGGCAAGGTTCGCTGCCCTGTGGTTTAGGACGCCAAGAAGAGGAACGAAAAGGACCAGGTCCTTGCCCAGATAGGCAAAACACCGGGAAAATCAGCGCAAATCTCTGGCACGAAAGGCAAAACAAACCAAATTCCATCGACCGCGCTTCGCTCAACTTATGGCCTGTGGTTGAAGATGCCAAGAAGAGGAACGAGAAGGACCAGGTCCTTGCATGGACAGCAAAACCCTAGCACTGGAGTACACCCAGCAAGGGCAACAGCCAAAAATTGCGAAAACAGCGTTTATCAACCGATGTAGATGCACCAAGGCGTGAAAATGGGGTTTAGGGACCACGGAAAGTGAGAAAACCATCCAGAAGTCAGCCTCGGACTGGCAAAACACCGGAGAAAGAGACAAATCCCGAGCTGCAGATGCAGTACAGCCTTTGGGTCTTTGCTTCCCGCCTCTACCAACAAAAGTCCTTGGCAGCAACACGGGCTTTGGGCGCTTGCCCATCTACCAAAAACTCCCGAGATGGAGCGCAAACTCCGGCTTGGCTTCCTGCCTTCGACTAAGCTCACAAGCACCATGAACGCATCGCAAATCGGGGGAGACGAGCAAGACGAGCATCTGTGTTCAAGAGCATTTAACAGAGGGGGGGCGAGCACAAAGAGCACCGCGTACTCGAGCCAACTTCGGGTTTAGGGCAAGTTTAGGGTTTGGGTTTGGACCAGCACCGATGGCAAGCCAGCCCGGGTCTCGCGAGTGATGCTCCCGCTCGGCTGGCCACCCTCTACACGCTGCAGATTGACGCGGGCTGCATGAAGAATCAGGCGCTGCCGCATGTGTGCAGCTGATGCATGTGCGGGCATAAGGTGGACGAAATGGGAAGCGTGCTCGCACATTCATGCCAACACATGTCTCACGATAACAATGGCCTGATTCAAAGAGCAGGGCGCCAAACAGAACGGGCGTCTAGGCATTCACTGCCAGGGATGTGAAAGATGACCGACGTCAAGAAACTCCGGCACACGCCTCAATGGAAGCGAACACAAGAGCGAGTGAGTGAGTGAGTGAGTGGAGATGAGAGCGAGAGAGATACGCGCCCCTCTCAGTCATGACAGATTGTGCCCTCGCCAGAATGAAAGCACGACATGCGCTCTCACAGCACTTGCAATTTCTCGGCGAGCCCGAACTCCTAAACCCCCAAACCCTGCAAACAAACCCCGGTCCCACACGCGACTCAGCGCTTGTGCAAGCACTCCAGGGCCCGGACATGCGCAAAACGAAGAAAAAAACACCTGGGCCCAAAGACTCAAGAGCGAGTGAGTGAGTGAGTGAGTGAGTGAGAGATGAGAGCGAGAGAGATACGCGCCCCTCTCAGTCATGACAGAAAGCACGACATGCGCTCTCACAACACTTGCAATTTCTCGGCGAGTTCGAACTCCTAAACCCCCAAACCCTGCAAACAAACCCCGGTCCCACACGCGACTCAGCGCTTGTGCAAGCACTCCAGGGCCCGGACATGCGCAAAACGAAGCAAAAAGCACCTGGGCCCAAAGACTCAAGAGCGAGTGAGTGAGTGAGTGAGTGAGAGATGAGAGCGAGAGAGCTACGCGCCCCTCTCAGTCATGACAGAAAGCACGACATGCGCTCTCACAACACTTGCAGTTTCTCGGCGAGCCCGAACTCCTAAACCCCCAAACCCTGCAAACAACCCCCGGTCCCACACGCGACTCAGCGCTTGTGCAAGCACTCCAGGGCCCGGACATGCGCAAAACGAAGAAAAAACACCTGGGCCCAAAGACTCAAGAGCGAGTGAGTGAGTGAGTGAGCCAGAGAAAAACTCGTGAACTTTTTAATTCAAAAGCAAAAAATTTTGAAAAAAAAAATCCATACAAACAGTAACCCAATCCTTCATTCATTTTACATTCCTCAGATTTCCATACTATTGTTTAAATGCCTAAACGCGACCCCCGCTTGGATGATCCTTATGCCATTGTAGGTGGTGGCATTGATATCACCAGCACAAAGTAAGTCGTCCTTTTTTTGTGGTTGTGAGTGAGAGATGAGAGCGAGAGAGATACGCGCCCCTCTCAGTCATGACAGAAAGCACGCTCCTAAACTCCCAAACCCTGCAAACAAACCCCGGTCCCACACGCGACTGAGCGCTTGTGCAAGCACTCCAGGGCCCGGACATGCGCAAAAAGAAGAAAAAAACACCTGGGCCCAAAGACTCAAGAGCGAGTGAGTGAGTGAGTGAGAGATGAGAGCGAGAAAGCGAGACCGGACAGCGCGAGGACAGACACTCTCTGTTGGCCCAGAGACTCCAATACCCCTCAATGCCGGAATTGTGGCCTCCGCTGTGGCTGTCTGCTGAGACTGTGCTTGTGCGCGGACATCTATCTAGGTGGGCGCAGCTGCAAGCCAGGGTGAGAGGTGAACCTTCCGCTCGGGGCTGCTCCACTGGCTGACCACCGGAGTGCCCTGGGCCGGTCTTGCCTTGATTGTTCTTGCTGTCAAGTCCCCACTGGCTGACCACCATGGGGCATGCGCACGTCTTTCCTCTCCTTTGGGAAGTCTGACCTGTGCCATCCCTTTGCCAATGCGGGTCCGTGATGTGTCCTTGAAGACGAGCACTGGAGCCTGACTATCGATGATGACCTTGGTTCGAGCCGAATGACGTCGCACCAGTAGCTACATGATGGTGATTTTGAAGATCTGGCAGTGTCGCAATTTGCGACTCCCCGCATGCTCAGTGCTGTATGATTGCACCGGGACTTCAACGACGACTTCGAGTACTGAGTGCGTGGGGTTTCCTAGTAGTTCGGCGCCTTTGCTTGGTTTGTTGCTTCTGTTTTCTTGTTTTTTGGGTGGTTGCGTGGTGTTCTTGGTGGTTTGCGCGCGCTGACTTCGTTTCACCCGTTACGTCAAGCCCAACAAGACCGGCCTACTGTGCTACTGATGCAGTACAGGGGCGCCAGTCCAAAAAAAAAAACACACAGCTGCACTTCATGTGACCTTTCAAATTGTTTCGCAAGGCATAAAACTCCAACAAATGCGAAAATAAACGGGTGTCTGGACAAAAAATTCAAGAAAAATGCAATTTGAAAGGTTGTTGTTCGTCCAAACCTTGCCATTCAAATTTCTGACAAATGAAAAAAAACTGTGTTTGCACAACAAATCAAACAAATTGCAATTTGAAGGCTTTTTCCAGCAAAAAAAAACGTGGTTGTTATTTTTTTTTGTGTCTGTGTGTGTGTGTGTGTGTGTGTGTGTGTGTGTCTGTGTGTCTTTGTGTCTGTGTGTGTCTGTGTGTGTCTGTAGTCTGTGTCTGTGGTGTGTGTGTGTGTGTGTGTGTGTGTGTGTGTGTGTGTGTGTGTGTGTGTGTGTGTGTGTGTGTGTGTGTGTGTGTGTGTGTGTGTGTGTGTGCTTGTATGTGTGCTTGTGTGTGTGCTGTGTGTGTGTGTTTGCTTGTGTGTGCTTCTGTATGTGCTTTTGTGTGCTTCGATGTGCTTGTATGTGTGCTTGTGTGTGTGTGTGTGTGTGTGCTTGTGTGTGTGTGTGTGTGTTGTGTGTGCTTGTGTGTGTGTGTGTGTATGTGTGCTTGTGTGTGTGTGTGTGTCCTGTGTCTGTGTACATGGCAACATTGCGCGTGTCCCCATGTCGGGCCGGAATGCTGCCCAAAACCATGGGAAATAGTATAAGAACACAGCAGAAACGGAAACAGACACGTTTGGGTACAAACAGTCCATACGACTTATTTTTTTGAACTATTCGGCTGGTTTGGGGGGGTTTAGGATACCCCGGCTCTTCATGTCATCATAAACGGCGCCAAAGCAGGTCAACCGTTCAAAAGGGCTGAATGAAGTTTTGAGTTTTTTGGTCGTGGCGGAGGATTCCAGGGCCTTCCAGGGGCTTTCAGGGCCTTTTCTGACCATGCCGTGCTTTTTGGAGCGAGGAAGGGCCTCAAGATATCCAAGCTGTATTACGCCCAACAGATTTGTTTGTGGAAGGTCACGGTGCCATGAGCAACACTGAGGCCAGAAATGGGTGTCTCAAGGAACCGCGCTTGTGGGGACACGCTTAAGCAGTAAATGTTAGATTTTTAGTGGAGGCTGGACCCATACGTTCTCTTCTTTCTCACTAGGGGGCTCTTCCATTCTTGGGGCTTTTCCAGTTCTGGGCTTTTTCCAGCCCTGGGCTTTTTCCAGCCCTGGGCTCTTTCCAGCCCCAGGCTGCTGTTGGACGTGGGGGGCCTTTTCCTGCGCTAGGCCGTTTCCTGTCTAAGGGCTTTTCCCTGACAAGGGCTTTTCCTGTCAGAGGCTGTTTCCCGCCCTGGGCCTTCCACCCCCTAGAACACCTGGCTGAATAAACAACACATTTTGCCAGTAGATGGATAGAAAAGCCTGCGATTCGTCAGCAATGACAGTTGAGGCGGCTTCAACGAAAACACAAGTTTGTTTTTTGTGTTTCAGAGCAACCTCGCGTGCCTCCACTGGGCACTGCAAGATCAGAAGTGGCAGCCAGGTGCGACTCGGGGCGGCGCTCTGTCTGAGTGTGTTTTTGATTTTGGGGAGATGGTGTGCAATCATTGAGAGGCTCTACGACAGCGTGCCTGCAGAGCGGATGTCATGGCGGGTGATGACCCCATACCCTCCGAAAGAAAGAAGAGAGAGAGAGAGAGAGAGAGCGTCTACGTATCACATTGCACGATGGATCTGGGCCATCTGGGCGTGTCTCGCGCGCGGGGGGGTCCGCTTCCCTCAAGCTCCGAAGCCGAAGAAGAAGAAGCAGAAGAAGAAGAAGAAGAAGAAGAAGAAGAATCAGAAGAAATGAGAGCAAGAGAGAGAGGGAGGAGCCGTTCAACGAGCTTCACCAAAACGCGGCGGGGGGGGGGGGGACACAGCTGGGGACCCTGGAAAGTCCTAGGCCTTTGAGTGAAAGCCACTCGTCAAGAAGAAGAAGAAGAAGGAGAAGAAGAGAGAGAGAGAGAGAGATCGAGATCGAGGGCGAGAGCGAGAGAGAGACAGAGAGAGAGCAAGAGAAAGGTGGTTTTTGTGTCGGCCTTTTGAGTTCAATGGAGAGAGCAAAGGCAGAGCAAAAAAAATCAGCCGAGGAGTGGCTGCAGTTCATCACCTACGAGCAGAAGAAGCCTTCAGAGTCCAAAAAAACGCAGAGAGACAATATGAGACGATGCTGACTCTGCTCTGGGCTGTGCTTGTGAATTATGCGTGCCCGTGAGCCATTTTGACTTCAAGCACACAATCCCCAGTGCTGCTTTTAACATCCAGCCATGGTCCAAATGCGCCACGTTCGTCGTGATGGCGGTCGCCGAGCTCTCCGTGTTGCCGTTATGTCGTTTCTCGTACAGGTGATTGTCGGGTCGAACGATACGGACACTTGCGATGAGAACTCTGCTTTGAGCACGAAGCGTATTTCCGACTCACGACGGCGAAGGCCGCAACATCAGATCACGCGCCTCAGTCAGCGCGATTTCCAGAATGGCACCTATCGCATCAAAGAGTCCGGAAGGTAGGGTTTGGGGTCTCAAAAGTAGCACGCCAGGGCTCAGTGCCTCGGGCTTTGAAAGGTTTGGACCTTGTTTGGACCTTGGAGCATCAGCAAATCCAGAAGGTACATCTTGATGGAGGACATCCATTTTGGCCCTCGACCGGATAATGATTACTGGCCAGAACCCCAGGACACACCGGGAGAGGAACATGCTAGCTGGCTCCTAGAAGCGGGGTAGAGGGTTATGATCAAAGAGTTGCCTTATTGTGGCGCGCCCCCAAAAAAGAGGCATGCGGCGGCATTGCGGGTGGGCCCATGCCTCACCCAAAGTTCCAGCGAGCGCGCGCACGCGCGCCGGTGTCGGTGCATGACTACTTAGCTGTACTTGCCACAGCCGCTGATACTATCGCTAGGGATTTATTGATGTGACTCTTGTGGATTTTTTAATTGTGAACTGCTTCCCCGATCAGACCATGAGGACCCCAACTATCCAGCAAGTCAGTTCTATCTCGGCTTCTTTGCTGGAATCACGGTTGAGGCCGACAACGTGGAAATTGATCTCAACGGGCACACCCTCGCACAGCACAAGGAGTTCTATCTCCTGCAACGATTTTGGAATGCCATCGAGCTTGCCAATCGTGTCTTTGTGGACAACGAGGGCGTGTCATCGCTCAACTTTCAGGAGGGGGACAAGGAGCAGTTCCAGAGTGGGCGTGTCCCTGCCATGCGGGGCGCACGCAAAGTCCACATCCATGACGGGACCTTGGGCTTGAGCTCACACTCTGGCATACATGGCAACAATGCCAGCCAGGTGTACATTGAGAACGTGATCGTCCGGGATTGGGAAGTTTCAGGAATCCACCTGAATGGTTGCCGTCGCTGCACCGTAAAGGGCTGCGAGGTTGGCCCGACATCATCTCAAGTGCCCGCCCGTGCAACCTTCTCCAATGCTCGTTTCCTGGAGCTCTACACCTCCAGGCTCAAGTCTACAACACTTCTACAACATTGCACGGCGCATCACTGCACGGCAGTTCCTTGACTAAGACTTAAACATGTCTACGAATGAATGCAGCAACGACCTCCAGGCTCATTCCCTTGGGCTTCGAGCAGGAGGGGGTCCTTGGCCGGATCGTGGCCCTCAGACTCTGGAGGCTCTCCAAATACCCCGCTGTTTCAGCCATCATTGAACAGATTTCTAGTAGGAACTAGCTCGCTCTTGTGCCACAGCGGTGACAGCATTAGAAGGAGTAGCAAGAACGGAGGCTGCAGCAGGAAGCGAAGCCCTGAGACCTTTTGAGGCTGTCTTCAGGCGCTTGGGCCATGCAGTGAACTTGTTCCGGGAGCATTACATGAGCCGCCTGGACGAGGCCGCTTCTGATTGTAGATGTCCCCTCAGGGTCCTAATTGAAGGTTACGGTCAATATGAGTTGTATCAAAATGAGTCTTGTCACAAGTTGTCACAAGTGTCAATGTGAGTATGGGCATATGGGGGCGAGGCCGGCCTTGCGCTGGAAGATGCGAGCTTGCTCCATGATGCCATCAAGATCTTTGCTCCAAGGGTGCCTGTGCCCGATGGGAGTGTCGCTGGATCTGAAACTAGACAAGAGAGTACTACTTAGTGGTTTTTTGTAATGCTTCTGAGGCAGTATATGGTCTGGTTTGTCCCGGTGTCTGCAGCCAGGTCATGTATGGAATGATTTTCAATCATCTCGGCACTCCTGGAGATGATGAGAATCATTACGGCGCAGGCGAGGAGTCTGCTGAGATTGTCATCCAGGACATGGGCATTACCCTTGGCATTCGTTTTGTTACGGAAGTTGTGATTTATTAGATTTGGTTCAAGATCTTCGACAGACATTATGCATTTTGCCCCAAACCTGCGCATGAAGATGAGGACACCGTCATCCACGATTTGACCATCAAGCTGAGCGAGGTAACAGCGATCCTGAACTCTGATGGCAAGTTTTCCCAAGGACCGAAATGCGTTCGCAACTACGAAGTACTAACCAAAAAATAGTTATTCGCAGAGTCGAAATGCTTCATGCGCTGCAGTGATAGGTGCACTGAAGAAAAACATGGAAAGCAGCAGCAGTGAGATAATCCAAAAACTCTACATACATAAATGTGCTTTGCCCCAGGACCTGTCAGAGATCTTTTTCGTGTGTTGGAGGTGGTGAGCAACCGCTTAACAACATTGGATGGTGTGGCTTTCCATCATAGTTCTAACCAGTATCATGATGATTGCGTCAACAGCTATGATGTTGAGGACCATGGTTACTTGTACCGCTTGCGAACTGAGGTTGCTTATGTCGGAGACGTGGTGCACGATGCTTATTTGGCCATGTGGCAGCTTGCCAACTCGTACTATGAGGCTCAAATTTATGCTTCTGGCTGTGGCAACTTTGGCTCTAACGCTACGCTGCCCTGGGCATATGATGTTGGTCGCTGCACACAAGGAGTACCTCAGAATCCCCATCTCAATGGCCGAGACACCGTGCTGCTTCAGAAGAAGTACTTCGGAGGCTTGCACCTAAGCGAGGGACTCTATAAGTGGGCCACCACATCCGGTGCATCACTTGGAGACCTCTTCGTAAGCCGCCAAGTGTCAGAAGACCGCTACTCCTCCAGGCACTCCCTAGTATGTGACGTTGACACCATGTTCCACGCGATGCAGGGAGCAATCGGTGTGAGATTGGAAGAGGTTCGCCATGTCTACATGAAGAACGTAAACGTGCGAAACATTTCAAGTCTTGGAGATCAGCATGGGCCGACATGTATGGCACGCTGGAGACTTCTTTCCAACAAGGAGGATATCATTCCTGAGCGAAGTGTGGCCGATGAGGGTGGAGGTGCTAATGCCCGTGGCTTGCATGTCAAGATCAGCCAACAGGTTGAGCTGAACGACGTATCCATATCACACATCGACAGCGATGAGGGCTTCGCGATTGGCATTGATATTGCCCCTGATGAGAATGACCGCTCGGACTACCGTGACCAACGTGCTGTGTCCTTTGATGATGTACGCGTCGAGGCATTGACGGCGGGTAGGAAGTCCATGGTGGCTCGTCTGGGCGATGACCAGTTTAACATGAAGGAGTTCAAGACAGGGCAGCCGGTCGACAACGGAAACTGGTTCAGGCCTCCGAAGCTAGTGATCAAGCAGGAGCAGGGTTGTTTCCAGTAGCAACAGCTTAAACATCAACGAATCTTGCCAGGTTCAAGCACACCTTTCAATCGTTCTTTGCGCTTGAGCCATGCCCGGGTCGCTTTGCAAATTCCATCCTAGTCAGTGACAAGCACCAAAAGCGTTGAAGAAACGTGTGCATCCACGTTGAAGCTCATGCGCCTGCAGCCTTTTGTTCACGAAGTCTCCTCAAGCAGCCGAGCTCCAAATGCAATTATTCCCTTCTACATACCTACAGTCCCATTCGTAGCATGATGCCAGCATCGACCCTTAGCCTTTTGAAAGAGAGCGGCGCAGCGCCATTCCAGACCTTAGGCTCCCAAACTCAAGCGGAGCACTCGAAGCACTCGGAGCACTCCTGACTCTCCCAAGAGCCATGATCCCAATCCAGGCACCCCAGAAAATTCGGAAGGAACACGAGTCCCACTTCCCAAAATGTGCACGGAACTGCGGCAGAAGATTGCACAGCGCTATGGCAGGAGCACACTGCCGTTTGGGGAAATCTATAGCGCCGAATGGCGCCCAGGAGCTGTTCAAACGCAGTTCGTCCAAACTCACAGTTATCACATACCGCCCTCCTGTTTTGGACCAGAAGGGAGCATCTGAAACGTCCAGACACAGGCGTTGTGAAGGCTTAAGTTATGAAGTCAACGTTGCAAAATGTTATGCCATGAGCCAACCGCTGGCCACGTCGCTCGGGACAGGGGTCCCCTTGAGTGGCATTCAAGAACCAATACAAAGCTGCAATTGAAACTGCTGAGCCTTTGAGAACTGCTGAGCCTTACCCAACCGGCAATCAAAGGCGTGTGTGTCATCTAGCCATGGTTCAAGTGCCGGTGCATTGAGGCTGCGAGTCTGGGGTCCTTCAGCCCAGCCCTGCGCAGGAGATAATCCTTCCGACTGCCCTGCCCGTTGCGGATCCAGCTGCTTCGCTTGCACTTTTGAAGAGCAACACCAGCTACAACACCGACGAGAAGGCCCGAGGCTTCCTGCTGGACGGCGCTGCGCAGCTGGGCAACAAGTACGGTGTCCGCTTTCCTGATGGCTACCAGGACTGGCCTGTGGATCAGCTGCTGTTCGTGCCACTGGAGCCCGACAGCTTTGTCGCCTTCGGAAGCCTTGGTGACACCGAATATACAGCCACAGCCGTCTGCGTTGGCACTACTTGTTCGAAGCCGCCTGCGGGTCCTTCATCTTGTTCGTTTTGGTAGTGTTTGTGTTATTGCTTTTGCTGGCATTCTAAGTGTTACTGCCTGTCTTGCTGATTGTTGTGCCATGTTGCCAGCTCAGCGTGATTGCTACATGTCTTTTTCTGGATACTCAGGTGCCGTGATCCTGGATTTTTTTTACGTGTTCTTCACCGGCCCGTCCGGCATCACCCTGAACGGCACCTTCGGGGGCAATGCCGGAAAGTTTGCTCCGCCGGGCACTGCCATTGTTTCCCAAGGCCTCTATGTTCACCGTGGTCTTGGGATCATCGACGGCCTGAACCCGAATGCCGAGGATGTGGAGTCGATCTACTATGCAGATTGCCCCTTCTCCAACATCAACTACCCCAACTACCCCAACTACCCCAACCCCAACCCTTCGGGTGGCTCTGGGTCGGCAACCGTCTCCTATATCAACTGCGTCGTGGACAATCCGATTCTCGGCCGAGGCCGTGCAACGGGAACAACCATTACGAATAACAGTGGCGAGAGCACAACTTTCGTGGTTCAGAATGCCGTTTTCTTCGATGATGAGTGGCCTGACGCAGCGACGAGCTCCGGAAGAATCACACCCCTAGTCTCGCAGCCCACGTTCCATCGGGAATTCCAGACCGATATTGTGGTCTTCGCTGATGGGGTGCTTCCCGTGAGCAGGAGTCGATCAGGTGCTGACATTCTTCCGTACCTGTTCGCCCACCACTATACGCATGAAGCAGGCTGGTTCACTGGTTCCTGTCTTCCAACTACCGCTGTATAGAATGTTGCCTGCCGCTTGTCTAAGATCACCACTCGGTTCTTACTCTGTTTGTCCTTGTTCGTGCTTCTACCTGATTACTTTTCGCACTCTCACTACCGTGTTGTTTCCTTTTGTTCCCGGGGCATTATCATGAATATTGCTACGAAGACAGCGACCATGATTCTCCACATCTCCAAACACAGCGTCTACATTGGTGGGTTTTGTGGATGTAGGCCCAATATGTAGGCGCAAAAAAACAGCTCCCGCAGCCTGGCTTGCACTGGGTGCAGGGTGTGAAAGAGCCTGCATTCCTGCCACTGTCCCGTGCATGCGCTTCCAAGATTTGGAGCTTGCATCTGTCGCGTCGCATGGAGTGTCCTCACATTTTTTGGAGTCGAACTCGGTAGAGGTCGTGATCCTCTTGCCAGTTGTTTTGGTCCTCTTGAGGGTGTACTCTTGACTGGAGTGCGCTCAGCAGCACTGTTGAAGCGCTTTCTTATGTCAGGGTGCTCACACCGGCAAGGGCATCACGATTGTTTTCGGGTCATTTTTCTGTTGTGACGATCGGTGCTCTCTCTTGTTGTGGTTTACGACTGGCATTCGCATCTTTACCGTTTGTACTCTGCATCGGTCATGCTTATGGCTACTTCTCTGCCCAAAGACTCCTGTTGCCAGTGTGACGAGAGATGCTGTGATTTCTGATTTCATGAAGCAGGCATCAAGTTTCTTCGCCGCTGGACTTCGTTCAAGTTGGACAGCGAGATAAGAGCGCTTCGCCGCAATTTCCTTGTCGCCCTGCGGGACACATTCGGCATCGGCCTCGTGCAACCGGATGACTGGAACGACACTCCTCTCCACGCTCAGATCGACTTGGGCAGGGGAAACACTGTTGTTCCTTACGAGGTTAACCATTTGAGCAACCAGCGAGCCTTGCTGAAGGTCCTTCCGGACAACAATGTCGAACAGCTTGGACTGGATTCCCGCCTGCACGAGGGTGGCTTCCGTCTCCTTGTGGGCAACTCTGGTATAGACACTTCAGCTCAGCACTTGCCATTCGGTAGCCTCATTTTGCAAGGTGTTTACGTGATCGAGAATGGATCCACGGGGAACATTGAGATTTCCTTCCGGTCAAAATTTCCCATGATTACAGACCCTTGGAGTACAGTGACTGCTGTGCAAGAGCTTCACAATCCGGCACTGGGTGATGGAGAAGCACGCATCATGATCGCAGAGCCATCTCCGACACCAATGGGGCAGAAGATCAACATCAGAGGCAACTTCGGTTTCCGTGGACCTTGAAGGGGTCAAAGCAGGATGGATATGGATGGCTGATGGTTTTATCGATTTAGCATCTAGATTTTGTGTTGGGCATTGCCCCCGATAGGGAGGTGTCATCACAACATCTCCCCACTCGTCAAATTTCGGGTGTTGGGAGTGTGCATTTATAGTGCAACCTCTCAGTCAAGCATCGAGTGCTTGATTCGGAATGGGTGATTCCCAAACGTTATGACCGAAACTGGCCTGCAAAGAAAGGTTTCAGTCAGTTGCCCTCAAGTCTCAAGAGTCGCAATGGGGCCCATACCGACAGATCGAGCAATCAACGCCATGTAGCAACGCTTGCGTATATATTGAATTCCGCTATGCACTCACCAAACATGTTCTTCGTTTCCTCATCTTCCTTTTCTGACCTTCTTCGGTGTTACCCTGAAGTTGATAGTCTTCTGAGTCTCGAAGCCAAGCAAATTCCTCAAACCTCGACCTTACAAATTACATTCAATCGACCCATCCAGGCAAACTACCAAACATCATTTACATGTCACAATCACTGGCAAGGGATCGATTCATGAGTACTACCTGGGAAGCTGTAGGTAGTTGGGAAACCATATCCTGCAATCAGCTCCGCGAATCGGCCCAAGCCAGGGTGTGCATGCAGTCCGCTCTACTTGTGGGCTTGCCAACCAACACGTTCTCTTTTGAAGTTTGGGGTTTGCCGGTTTAGGGTTTTGGGGTTTGGCCAACCAATGACTGACTGACAATCACAGGGTCCTCGCAGATAAACTGCTACTGTAGCACTGTTGCACACCCGTTGTCGATTGTCGATGAGGTCGTAAAGTCGGCGTGTGCGTGTGAACTTTATACCTGGCCTCGAGTGGTCACAATGTCGACCTGACTACAAATTGCCGAAGACAGCGCTAGCTGAGCCTCCTGCGTGCCAGTTCACAGGCTCTAGTTTGTTGCAACCAGCTGCATCGGTGCAAGTGAAGCTCAGAAAACAAATCCTACCTGGCTCATGGCAAGACATCCCCAACCAACGAGTGGTAATTGTGTGTATCAATGCAGAGTGTGTTTGTCAGCATGTATCAGCAAAAGAGTGGGTATCATTCTATACCTCAGACCGGCTGAGTATTAAACACTGCCGGCAACGCACCCGGCCTGGACCGGCGCCGGCGCTGCTGTGAGCTATCGTCCCTGGCCAAGATCGGGTGCGCGGTTTTGTTTTGCTTTGGGTATGAAGCTGAATGATTATTTGGGACTTCTTTTCGGGACTATCTAGCTTCGAGGATCTAGCACCTACTCGAGGGAGTTGACGTGACTCGAGATGCTGGGCATTGGCTGTGTGTAGCCAGGCTCGCTCCATGGCAGCGCGCTGTTCAACATTGTGCCTTCTTGGACTGGCTTCCCTGGTGGAAGGCAGGGCGTCTGCACACAACTGCGAGCACGTGTTCGCAACGTTGCTTCTCGTTCTCAAACCCAAACAGTGCACGTCGTAGCAGGGGGATACTCATGTTTGTGAATGTAGCATTTGTAGTTGGAGGTGCTTTGACCGTTTCAGAATATCTGTTTCTTGGGCTTTCTGGGTCCTTCGGATCGCGGTGTTGATGCTGGAGCTGCTGTTGCTGTTGCTGCTGCTGCAGCTGCTGCTGCTGCTGCTGCTGCTGCTGCGGCTGCCGCAGCTGCTGCTGCTGCTGCTGCTGCTGCTGCTGCTGCTGCTGCTGCTGCTGCTGCTGCTGCTGCTGCTGCTACTGAGTGCTGCTGACTGGTACTGGTGGTAATACTGGTGCTGGTGCGGTGCCGGTGGTGACTGGTGCTCGTGCTGGTGCTGAGGTTCCTGCTGAGGGTGCTGCTGAAGTTGGTGGTGACGTTGTGGGTGGGTGGTATGTTAATACCGCCATAAGACGGACCCTCCGCAATTTGCAGTGGCACTCGAAGAGAACGTGGAAGTGTGGTAGGCAAAAGAGCGGAGTTTTCCGAACAAAGCCTTAAAGTAATGTTCGCATATTGTTTCCATGCTGCCAGCCTTTGACGTTCAGCATTTCTTCTCGCAATGTCATCATGCCGCCCCCACCGCTGCCCTTTCCTGTCAGCCTGGAATCGCAGCCATTTGTCCTGTCGGGCCCCAACATCTCACAACAGTGGGAGCGCCACGTTCGAAGCCTTTCGTTTTCAGTCCCGTGCCAAAACCCCCCAATCGGCGCTGCGGTGGGCCATAAGCTGGCCAAGAGCTCTGTGAGCCCCGAGGCAGAAACCCCAAGACCCAAGACTCCCTGCAGGCACGCCCTCGTGGCAGGTCACTTCTGGGCCCAGCCCTCAAAATCTGCAGGCGCTGATGTAAGGTTTGGAAGTTCGGTTTGTTTTGCCTTTTCGAAGTGCCGGCCTGGGCATCCTGGGCTTCAGGTCTTGGGGAGTCTAGTGCAGGGCGCTGGGTGCCCAGCTCAGGAATTGCGGCAGGACCCCCTCCCTCTGAGCCCTCAGAACTCTACAAAGGACTATGAAGTTGCAGGCTGCCCAAGTTGGCAGGCTGCCTGGAGGGCTTAGGTTTAGGGTTTCGGGTTCAGGGTTTGGGGTCAGGGTAATGATCTATCCTCAAACTGGCGAGGAAACTGAAGACTTTCTTGAGGCGGAAAAATCGTGTATGAGGGACCACAGTTTCAGCTTTCCTGTAAGTTTCGGGGGCCCATTCTTGCATGTTGTTCGTGGGTCGCTGACGTGAAGTTGTTTAAGCGGAACTAGAATTAGAATTCCGTTGTGCAGTTTCCATGTTAGTTCAATTTAGTTTGGATCTGCAGGAAAGCAAACAAAAGGTCATCTGTAGTGAAGCCAGCAGCGCTACTTCGGAGTTCCACAGCGTCTGCCGGCGTGGACTGGTTGTAGTTTGGGATCGTAGGCGGAAAAGCCAGACAAGTAAACCCTAAACCCTAAACCCCTAACCCCTAAACCCTAAACCCTAAACCCTAAACCCTAAACCCTAAACCCTAAACCCTAAACCCTAAACCTAAGAGGTGCAGCTGAAAATGTACGCGACCCTGAGCCTGACTCCCTGCTCTTTGGGTGGGTGTAGCCGCAGCCTGGAACTGAGGTCCTGCGTTGTCGAGGGCGATTGTGTTGCCAGCAGCAACTACCCGACTACATATCCGGACAATGATCGGTGCGTGATCGAAGCTTCTTCAGCTGTCAACCAGTGGCAAACTTTTCTCTGAGTCTTTGGTTTAGGTTTTGAAAACAACAATCCTAAAGCGTATGAAGCCTAGTAGGCCCCGAACCCCGACCCCAAAACGATCGCGAACATTCTCACGTGGACTTGGGAAGCACGTCGAAAGGTGCCTGCGATCAACTTGGACCAGGCCCATATAGTCATCTACTGGATTAAACAGCATATTCGCCCCGAAAGGCCAGACCTCGACCGGGTTTTCGGACCAGAATCCAAGATCCCTCTGTTGCTTCGACTCGTTGTTGCTGCGTTCCTCTCTGTGTTCCAGGTTGTGCCCAACAATACGCGCGCCATCGACGTTATCAACTTCCTCACCGAAGAGAGCTTTGACTCGCTCATCATCAACGGCCTGGCCTACTCCGGCTCTAATGGGCCCCAGGGCGTGGTGCCACAAGAAGCCCTTCAGTGGATCTCCGACGCTGGGCACTTCTTGGACCTCTTGCCTCGCTTCTTGTGTGTGAGTTTACTTGAGAAAGAATGGTGGTGCTGTGTTTTTAGTGCCTTGAGCAATTGAAAGGAGCCAGTGTTTAAACTGAAGGCATATGGAGGCAAGGCCCCCCAACGCCCAGACGCCACTGACAGAATTTGCATCCCAAGATCCGGGCCCAATGCTCTAAGATGCGGGAAAAGGAGTGGAAAGAACTGCCTGGCACTAGCCGAGTTCAGTCTTTCATTCCAGCGAGTTTTGCCGACGCATATGATGAGGTAGAATTGTGCAAGGGGGGGTCTTTCACAGCTGAGAATCCAAGTCAGAAACCTCAGGACTACTGCAGGAAGAAAGGTAGAGCTGCACTCTCAAGCACGCCACAAAAGCTTCGATTTTCCAAGCTGTTCATCCAAGCGCTTCAAGTGACCAAGGACGAATCTGTCGGCACCCTTGGATGGAAGCTTTGCTGGGAAGAGGACTGGCTCCAGACCGAAATCCCGACCTTGGGAACGCTCCCTAGTACCCTTTGGACCCCTAAACCCTTAAAAGTCCTAAACCCTAAAACCCTAAACCCTTAAATCCCTGAAACCCTAAACCCAAAAAACACCCTACAGCCTTACAGCGCCCTTTTTTACCATCCCCACCCTTCCCCCTAGGCATCCTCTGACCTCCCTTCGCAACGCATGAGCGCGCCGTGGCTGGGCCCTCACGCCTGCCACGTGCCCTGAGTGCTTAAAGGGGCTTATGGGTACTTGGAACCCCAACTATAAGTCTGCTTATAACCTACCTTAGTGTGGACTTAGGGGGGCGTAGAAGTGCAGTGTCCCTGGTGCTTGGAAGGTTTGCTTAAGAACGGCTTGGTGAAACCCTGAACATCATCACGTCTCGCCCTTCTCCCATCGGGCCGGAGCTTGGCAATCTTCACCCTACACATCTCTAAGCCCGGCAATCTAATCCCTGAACCCTATACCTTAATCCCTGAAACGTGCAGTGCTCACAGCAGGAGCCAGCCTGGCGCGTGACCAGTGGGCTCGGTCCTTGCTGTTACGCGAGAGAGGTTCGGAATGATTTCAGGGCTTCGGGTGTGGGGGCTTGCGCTTCAAGATCTCCAGGGTCGCGGCTTCGAAGTGGAAAGACAGTCAGCTTTTTGTAAACGCTGCCTTTTTTTTTTCAGCGGGGCACGTATGATTCTCCATGCGTGAGGAAGCCTGAAGAATTGACAGCTGCATGACTTGAACGTGCCCATGAGTGCTCTCATGCCGTTCTCAGACAGTTTGCCGCTGAAACGCTCTGCTCAGCCTCCTCCCAGATGCCTCAGGTCCTGCACCGCGGAGGGCGACTGCATCGCCAGCAGCAACTATCCGGGCAATTACCCGGACAATGCTTCTCGGGCCGCACAGTGTGTGTGTGTGTGTGTTGAATCCTGGGCCGCTTCTCCGAGAGACAAATTACCATACAGTCCTTCCAGCTATATGGCGCCCCTTCAGCGAGAATCACAGCCGCTGTGTTTCGCTGCGCCAGGAGTAGGAGGACTTACCAGTTGGGGGGTGGTGGTTGTGTTGCTTGTTTCTTGCCTTTGAAGGTGCCCGGTCATTGCCCTGCTGAAACTCTGAAGATTGAGGCATTTCTGATTAAGGTTTTGGGTCTTCGGTTTAGGTTGGAGAACACGACTCTCCTTGCCTAGGACGCCTGCCAGATAGCCGTCGACCCCAACAACACGCGGGCGATCCGGGTTGAAAGTTTCTCCACGGAGCAAGACTTTGATCTCCTCACGGTGAACGGAGCAGAGTTCTCTGGCATGAACGGGCCAAGCGGCGTGACACCCCAGGGGACGATCTTGTGGGGTGCAGACGCTCGGCTGCACCCTTTAGCCCTCTGGGTTCACAGGGCCAGACTAGTAGAGTTCGTGTCTACGTTTCACAATCACATCTCCATGGCGCCCAGAATTACACAGGATCTTGACTTTCAGGATTCAGGGTTCTAGAGTCCGAAAGCCAGCTGGCAGCTTCTGGGGCGCAAGGAGAACGTAAGATTGTTTTAGGGACCAACGAATTGCTGATATTTCTCCGAATCCCCAAAACTCTGAACCCAGGGACGAAAGCAGCCCCTAGGGTTTCGAGAGCAGTTTCGAATGTCTGGTTGAGGCTTATAAGTTGGGATTGTTCCCCCTTCGACGAACAGTCCTTCACAGGGATTTTTGTACCCCCTACTTTGATCCCTCTTAAGGACTGTTAGCACAAGGGGGGAACATCCCACCCTATAAGGCTGAGGGTCCAACAGTGCCACGCGCACCACTTTGTTGGCCCTTCCTCTTACTTTGCGGCTGCTGCTCCTAGCGCTTGAGAAGGTCGAAGCTGTGACTTTTGTGGGGTCGTGGTCTGGAATCATGGGGCGCTTCATGGAGCGGCCCCCAGCCTCCAGTGACACCCAGTGTTCATTTTCGTCTCCTCGACCTTGCAGCTAGCCGAAATTTCTCACATTTCTCCCCCTTGTAGGAAAACAGTCCTTAACAGGGATTCCAAGAGGGGGGGTACGATAGTCCCCTAAGAAAGGGCTGTACGAGCTTCCCTAAAAAAAGGGGCTGTGTTTGGGGGGACAGCATCCCAGCACATCGTAGCGGGGAACATTACCTGGAGCCACCCAAGCCTTAAAAACTCTTGGAGCACGAGGCTGCCCCCTAAGCCCACACCATGAGCCCATACTAGAACCCCTAGAAACCATCTCCCAACCCCCAAAAAAGTCCCCTAAAACCCTAAACCCTAAACCCTAAACCCGAAACCCGAAACCCTAAACCCTAAACATCCCTAAACCCTAAGCCCTCTATATAAGCCCTCCAAGCATCCTGAGACTTAGGATGAGTCGGTCGGCAGCAGCGGCTGGAAGAGACTGGGCTCCAGAACAGCGCTCCCTTCACTTCCCTCCCCATAAAAAGTTCGGGCGGTGAGCTTGGATTGTAAAGGGTAAGGGCCTGTAAGGGCATAGGGTGCATGGCTTGGGTTTGGGGTTCTTTGGGTTTGGGTTTCTTGGGGACTGGGCACTTGGGGTTTAAGATGTGAAGCTCAGGGATGCGATGTTGCACCGGTGAGCTGAGGATCTGCTTGGGTTTGGAGGAGGTGGCGGCCGAGGTTGGGTCCAACAAAGCCCTGAGCCCCAAGCCCTCGAGCCTAGGCCTACTCTCCCGCAGAGTTTTCGCATGATGCGAGCATTGTGTTTGCAAATGTGCATTTCTAAAGCCGGGCAAGCTACACGAGTCTTTTCCAAACCCATGATGCGAGCATTGTGTTTGCACGGCCCCCCCCCCCCCCCCCCGCAAGCTTGCTTCCATGCATACGAATCCTGTCCGAACCAATGATGCCAGCATTGTGTCTGCAAATGGGGTGGCGGATTGACAGGAAATCCCTGGGTCGTGCTTCTAGTATGGAAAGTTTTCTGTTCCGTTCCATCCGTGCTAGCATGCAAACAGTGATTCATGTCCACTTTACTGCGCCATCGCAAGCAACACCAACATGGAACATAAAGAACGCCAGAATCTACTTCCACGTTAAATTCTGCGTTGCTGGTTGCCTCTGATTCCCTGGGGATCGCGGTTGGCCATAGGACGACAGGGGCGTTGTTTTGGCAGAGTTGAGGTTTTGGAGCTTGGAATGCTTGTTGCAACGCGCTGGTGCTCTGTGGCATGCTTTTCATGTCGGTCATGTCACCGATGGCAAACAGGTGTGAGTGACCAGCACAGGCTGCTGAGATGCTTGCCCCAATCGCCCCCCCACCCCCAAACCCTAAACCCTAAACCCTAAACCCTAAACCCTAAACCCTAAACCCTAAACCCTAAACCCTAAACCCTAAACCCTAAGAGGCCAAGTTGGGAGGGGCGTTTGGAGCTACCCGCCCGAAGCCCTCAGCCCTACATTCTCGGCCCAAAAGAGATACTCAAGGCAGCTTTATCGAGGCATCGAGTCTGCGTCGGCCCAGAAAGGGAAAGTCAAGGCATCCAGTTTACATCGGCCCAGGAAACGCAAGATATCAAGCCTGTATCGGCCCTTGAGAGGGAACCCAAGGCAGAAAATCTGAATCGTCTCAAGTCTGTGCCGGCCCAAAAAGGAAACTCAAGGTATAGCCTGTTAGATAGAAGTGAAGAAGGGTCCTGTGCCAGCATGCTTTGAACATGTCAGGAATACTAGGATCCTTACCCTACAGCCCCACTGCAAATGGGGATCTCCAAATTAGGGGTCCCTGCCTGGGCTCGCTTGAAATAGGTTCTTTGAACAAGACCTGAAACCCTAAAATGGCCTTGCCTTGATTATAACAAGAGTGTTTAGGCTCAGCTATCAAGTAGGGCCCGTCTTTTTTTTAACCCCCCCCCAGCTTTTTTCTGACCCCCCCTCTTTTTTTTGACCCCCCCCCGCTTTTTTTTGACCCCCCCCAGGGGGGAGACTTTCGACATCTCCTTTTTAGGCGCGGTCGCATGATCGAGATGTTGCCCAAAACCTCACCTTTGGTTTAGGGCTTAGGGTTTAGGGCGTGCTGCTTGCGACTCAGCTCGAAGTTTCGGCCCCCTGGTATTTGGAGAACGTAGGAAGTACCGGATAGCCGGCTTTTTTTTAGCCTTACCCACAGGTTTTCACGCTTTCACCTCCGAGGAGTCAACAGCCCCTCCGAAACCCTCAAGATGAGGCCCTAAACCCCTAAACCCCTAAACCCCCAAACCCCCAAACCCCTAAACCCTAAACCCTAAACCCTAAACCCTAAACCCTAAACCCTAAACCCTAAATCCTAAACCCTAAACCCCCCCCCACTGAGCCCCCCTTTGCAGGAGCCCTGGAGCCTGATGATGGGGCCTGGCCCCCAGGAGCCGGTACCATCATGGGAACAGAAGTAGGGTTTAGGGTTTAGGGTTTAGGGTTTAGGGTTTAGGGTTTAGGGTTTTCAGGGTCCAGTCTTGTCTTTTGCAGGGTTTAGAGGGTGTAGTATGTAGGAGGCTCAGGGAGGTTTCAGGTTTCGGGGTTGAGGGTTCCCTCTCCTGCAAAATGCTTTTCTTGCCAAAGCTTCGGGGTTCGGGGCGTACGACACGCGGTTCAGGGGTGGGGCATGTTCAGCTTGAAGACCTCCTCTAATCGGGAACGTCTTACCCCCCCAGGTCGTGCACCGTGGAGGGCGACTGCATCGCAAGCAGTGGCTATCCCGGCGTGTACCCTGACAACGACGTATGCCAGATCAAGGTGACTCGCACCAAGCCCAAGCCCGAAACCCTCACACAAATTGGTGGCTTCTGCGGGAGTTCTACAAATGGGGCCTCCTTGCCGGGGGTGTCTTGATCGTATGAATCACACCATCCATCTGATGTCCAGATGATATCCCAAACCCTAAACCCTAAACCCTAAACCTTAAACCCGAAACCCTAAACCCTAAACCCTAAACCCTAAACCCATCTAAACCCTAAACCCTAAACCCAAGCACCCGGATTTCGGAGGGCACGGATCCAAGTCGCTTCACAGCTGCAGCATGCGTGCACCATCCTAAAGTGTGACGGGAGGCATTGCAGGGTTGTGCACGTGGCAATGAAGGCTTTTTGGAAGAGTCACAACTACATTTTTGAACTCTACACTGTAACAAGGAGCCTATCCAGCGGAATGTTAGGCCCTTACCCACTTGCTTTTTTGATCCCATGCAGAAAAACTTGCCCCCTTAAGACACTCCAGCAAAAGACCGCTTGTTCAAGGTTGCCTCTGGCAACACTCGCGCCGTGCGAGTGCTCGATTTCAACACAGAAAGAGACTTCGATGTGCTCACCGTCAATGGCGCCGCCTACTCCGGCTGGGCAGGGCCCGCCGGCGTGGTTCCGGAGGGGACAGTGGCCTGGTCTTCCGACGATCGGCTGCATTCACTACAAAAGAGCTTGTCCTACGGTAAAGAAGGGATGTGGGGCTGGTTGATACGTCGAAAAGGCATGATGAGTACCCGTGACTGTCCCCCCGAACACCAGCATACCCCGCCCCCGATGTCCCCGGCTGGCAGGCTTTGATTGTGCGTCAAAGGCATGAGTATGAACTGCGTGCGAAACAGGACGGATCTGTCGGCGGCCTTGGATGGAGAATTTGCTTTGAAGAGGACTGCAGAAAAATCCCCTTCGCCCCTAACCATGGTTTTTCGCCTCTGAGTGCCAAGCCTGTCCCTTACATCAAGTTGGGGTCAGGAGAAAGCTTTTGGGCTCTGGGTTTAGGCTTTGGGGTTTATTGTTTAGGGCTTAGTGTCTCAGGGGTTTCGTAGGATGCTGCAGATGTGCCGGTTCCGGCGGTTCCGGGGCAGTGGCATCTGCGGGGGAAACCGTAGCAGGGAACTGCGCATTCCAGTGGCGTGTCTGTTTTGCCTCAACGTCGCGATCTTCGAAACTGTCGCTTTCGTTCGCCTGGGCTCACGTAATCTCTCACTGTTTGGGGTCTACGCTGGCATACTGGACCCTTGGGTCTTAACAATTTGTACAAGACTGTGGCCAGTGAATTGAAAGATGTCTATATAAGGTGTAGAAGCTTAAGCCCCAGACCCCAACGCTTCAACCCTCCGAATTCACATCCTCAGACCCTACAAGGTTCCCCCCCACCTTTTTCCCAGCATCGCACAGAAGCTGTAGAGGGGTGGGTCCCTTGTAGACTTCTGGCCCTTAAACGGTAAGCCTTGCACCCTGAACTCTATACCCCAAACATCCCCCAACCCCCAGCCTCAACCCCAAAGCCCTAGAGGCCCTACACCCTCATCCCATCCACAATCGTGCAGCAGGAGCCGCCCTGGCGCGTGACCATGGGGCTCCGCGCTGAGCCAATCTTAGCCAGGATAGCCACAGCTGCAAGGGCTCTTGAGGGTTCGGGTCTTGAGGGTTCGGGGGGAAATGCAGGTCCTGAGGTGCTGAAGATTGCTGGGTTCCATGTCGTTTTCAGGCTTTCGTGCGCGGAGCTTGAAGAAAGTTTCGACAGCGTGTTTTTGGATGTTCGG